ACGCAATTTATTATTCACTTTTCTGTGAGAAGATATGATCATGATTATCACAAGCAGTTTTTACATTGACAGTTGTTTTAAACCTTGGTGTCATCGTCGATGGAACGCATTAGCATTGACTAAATTAGCAATCATGCGCGAAGTGTGATGTGGTTGTACGTGATATGCAAGTAGGACAATCGTGTCGTATTCGTTTCTTTTTAGGCACAAATATTAGACGCATACCTGTTTTCTAATGCAGGTATTTTGTATGACAGTGGCACGTGACTGTCACACGTATATTCATCCTTAGTAAAGATAGCGTGCGGATTGCTTCGGATCTGATATTGCAGATTGCTATATTTTACTTGAGAAATTAACGTACCAGATGATTTTTATGACAGACTTAATTATCGTTACCTGATAATTTCCATAATTGCATTGTAGAAACCTCCGGCTTTTGTTGCAGAACTGGTTATACTAATTACACGTGGCTGCTTTTTTGCGCAAGTCGTCAAAAAAAATTTTTGTAGTTTTTAATATGCGCAAATTAAAATATGTTAAATAGAATATATTTCAAATAAGAATGCATTAAATGGACGAGTCAATGCATACGAATAAATATTAAGAAGACAGTTTTTTTTTTAACAAAGAAGACTCGATAATAGTGACATTTATTTTGCATTAATTTCGTGTGAAACTAATTGAGAAGCAATAAAAATTGCCTTATTCAGACGTTACACGAATAATAAGTAACGTTATACAATTATAACGAAATATCTGTATGGGGAACACGAGCTTTCTGGATCTTATGTATTGTTTTCTAATCCGTAATCGATGATGCCAAATGAACTCTTTATTTTTCTTGTATCTTTCGGAGCGAGTTAAAATTGATTCTTGGCGTGACGCACGTAATTCATTAAGTTTTTATATATATATATATATATATATATATATATATATAAAATGGAGCTCAGAACATGCATATTACTTTCACATTTCACTTCAGCCAGTTTTGGTTCGAGAAGCTCTTAGCGAACAGGAAATCTTTTTCGAAAATTTAATTCCTATAATAATCTTCCCATATATCTCTAAATAATTAGCGCTTCATAATTAAGCCCTGTTATTATTCATATTTATTGTATTTTACAGAATTATTTCGGAACGTACTGTTGCATAAATACGACTGACATACATAATAAAATAATAAAATTCGTATAAATAATTGACAAGGAAAAATGCAGCATGTATATATAAAAAATAATTTGGAAAGTAGAAATGGATAAATAATTTAATATGTTTAATATATAGATATAATTGTTTGTATTAAAAATTGTTTATCAAAGTTTAATATCACGTGATCTTGTTTTGATATTATTTTGCACATTGCTTTACATTGTATTTATGTTGTTTAAAAATAAAAAGTTATTTTGTGTAGAAATGTATAGACTATAATTTTTTATTAAATGTATAAAGAATGAATCATGATTTTTTAAAAATATATTTTCCATTGTTTTTACAGTACTTTGTTATTGAAACATGCGACATTAATACAGAAAAGTGTATTATGTATTTTAATGTTCAGCTTTTAAATCAACGATATACGTTTCTTAATATACGATTGTCGAATGTTTAATATTTGAAATGTTTAATATTCGAAGCCATGAATTTGCGAAATAATTAATGAATTACTATGGTTGAGAAAAAAGTTGTCGTGGGCGCCAAGTTAAGTAGGCCACGTGGCACATTTCGGTTCTTGGCATCGATAACAAGGAAAACGATTCTAAGGTCGCCGGAATCGCGACGTTTATAGCACGAACATTGATGGTATCTTTCCATTTAGAATTTATTATTTAACACTAAGTCTAGAATTGTTCTGGATATTCTTCCATATAGATTGAAGAAGACACGTTCGAAAAAATGGTCTGGAAATTTAAAAAGAAATAAGAATTTATTTCTATCACTGACTGTGAAATATAAATTTCATTTTTTCCGCTTTAAAAAGTGAAAGCTAAACCGTTTTATGAGAATGTCTTGTGAATTATTAAAATAATTTATTAACTACACGAGAGAAACTCTTGAAAGAAATGCTTTAGAGTACATTTTTACGATTATTACGAATATTTCTTTTTCAAAAATTGATCATACTAATCCGTACATATTGGGCGCTAATTGCTGTTATTCGTTTATGCATTGCTGAAGTACACGAGCGTCCCGCAAAAATCCCTGGAGCTAAATTTAGCAATTCACATATGCATATAGCATCAAGCATCCTTCTATTTATAGAACCCACATCGCGCATGTGTGCATGTACACTCGACAATAATCGCATTCGACCGTACTATATTCGTGACATTGGGATTTTGTCGGAATCGATTGGTCCTGTGTCGCATTTTTTTTTTGCGAATTTCAATTTGCGAAAAAAAATGTAGCTAAAAAAAGGAGAACTTAAAAAAAAGCTGGTAAGAGTAAAATGTAAGACGAATTTCGGAGTAAGAGAAAGAAACTGTTAAAACGAAATGAAAAAATAATAAGAAAGAAGCCTTGAAAAAGTTGAAAAGTTTCTTTCTTTTGGGTCGAAGTTTGTCTTATTGTTATATTAAATTATTCACATTTAAGTTAACATTTACAATTTTTTATATTTACATTTTTAGATAAATGATTCAGTATATTTATTGCTGATGCGCAAGAAAAAGTAAAAACTGTTGCAACAATTCTTGACGTGATAATTCATGTTAATATTTATTGAAATATTAATCAAAATGAAATACGGGAGAACAGGAATAAATATTAATCTTAATCCTATAAGATTAATTTTATTTAACATCGATGCTATATTATACATCTTCAGATTTCAATTGAATAAATAACGTTAAGAAAAGTTTTTGCCTTTTGAATAAATAAATATTTATTCAATATAGTGAAATAATGATTGTAGCATATTTTTACATGTATGCTAAATAAATTATTAGTAGACGATTAATTTAGCATTATGAAATATATGTGTGTGTCACGAATTTATGAAAAATGTTGCATAAAAAATTAAAATTAGACGCACAAATGAATCCATTAGTCTTTTCAAAGGAAAACATTCTATTTTTTAGGCTTCAGAGATATACGTTTAGAGTTTTGAGTATTAAATTTTTATTTTTTATTAAAATTCTGCCAATCTGCCGAAGATTGGAATAGAGCAAGAGATTGGAGAAATTTCTTTTGATTTATCACACTAAAAATAAAGTTATTTATAACTTCAGTTTACAACTTAAGTCAGTGAAAAATCTAATATTGTCCGATCGCAAACTATATAGAGATCGATTACACGTTCCAGTGACTGGAAACCATCCGCCGCGTCGGAAAGATCTGCGATCGTGGTCTGAGAATCACTGTGTCACCATCACGTAACATATTCACCGACACTCGCGCACACTTATAATCGCCGCGGGATACTTTATATTATTGCGCCCTGTATATCATGCGATAAAAATATCTAAAGGTGATTCTTAGTAAGATAGTGAGTTTCGCGAACGCGTCGCTGAACATGGGAAAAGAATTTGCAACGTCCTCGGAAATTCAGAGCTGTTTGCGTTTGATGGGACGAATTATTATGCAACGTTAATAATACGTTTGTAAAGAGAAAAAAAAAATGAAAGCGAAAAGAAAGGAAAAAAAATATATGAAATGAGAGAGAGAGAGAGAGAAAAGTGAGTCAAGATGACCGCGCGTCGCGCGATTCCGAGAATTCCCGAGAGGAAAATTCTAGGGGATTAAAATATTAAAGCGAATTATTCTCGTTATCAATTATTCACGTCGCGACAACGACAACGCTGTCTGTGTTCGACGTCGCGGATGCTCTTGCGCGACTTGTCGATAAACTCGGTGATGCAACGGGAGAGAGAGAGAGACAACACGAGTGACATGCATGTAATATGCGGTACGTTCGTTATGTCATCGCGCTGCCGCGGAGTGACGATGGCGGCCGGCTTTCCTCTGGCATAATTACAGCATAAGGCGAATTAATATTTAAGCATCGCGACACGCGCGCGGCTCTTGCGAATTTCAAACGGGATTCGCACAATTTATTTACCGGAAGGCTCCTTACCGAGGATCCAAAGGTGCGTCTCTTTTCTAATAGAAAATCTGCTCTTCTCAATAAACCGAATCGTTTCTTCATGGAAATTTTTTTAATGAAAAATATTGTGAATCGCCGTATTACGTTATACACAATTCCTCATTATTTTTCTTATCAATTAATTTCTTATCTTTCGGTAAGCAATGATTTTTCGAGACGTTTTATATTTTTAAGGTGTGACCTTGCTTCATTAACTTCTTAATTAAAAGATTATATTATTATTTTATTAAATTATTATTTTATATTTTTTTATTTTATATTTTTCGAGGTGTTACAATTTATTTATGACACCTAGACGTGGATATCGTTCTAATCATAAAATCGCTTAGCTATTTAAATTTGAGATGTGGAACGTCTCGAGGATATCGTTTCGCTGAATTTACACGTCTATGTTAATACGTTATCAACGATTAATGTCTAAAGGCTGATAATCAGGAAAAATCTCCCATGTTTTTATACCTGATCTTTGAGATACGATCATAACATCTTATTATTGATTGATTAATACTAGACTAAAAAGATCAATAGATGTATTGATCTTTATTATGTTAATCTTAAAGACTATAAAATTTAAATCGGCATTGTAAAACGGTTATTTGTATTTTTATACATATATAAAAATTAGGGTCGTATACGATCTTTGTACAGAAGCAGTTAAAAGATATATATATATTTTTAATAAAAAGTAATATACCTTGATATAATCTCGATTTATCTTGTAGCTATTAAAACATAATAATCTATTTGTTTTCTGTCTGCAATTTATTTACGTTCAAATATTTACGTTTCTTCCAATTTTTTAGCACTTTTCTTAATTGATTTTAATTTGATTGTGTGGTTATTTCGGTACAACATATATACAGTGAAAAAAAATATAAGTACTCGATAAAAATATTGATACTAAATTGTATTAAATTTGCTTGTTACAAACATCGCCGCAGAAGGACTGAAATGAATATATCGGAAGCAAGAACGTATCGGGTTAGCATGCGTGCGTTGTCCCATTTATCGTTCTAATACGATTTTTTCCTCGGGAGAGACGTTGGAGTTCATGGACTCGGAATCCCCTGTTGTCGGCACGGCGATCGGCGTTGGCAACTATTTTTTTCCCTGCGCGCCGGTCGAGATGTGTACCAGCGAGTAAACAAGCCGATCCAACGCAAGTTGTAGGTCTAAATATAAAATTGCAACAAATCAATATCAAACGTGTCCTCCTCCCTTCGCCGTGCGTGATATTAAACTGATAAACACCAGAATGGATACCTGGAGTGTCTCTCCATTTCGTGCGTTATTCGCCCATATCGGACAATTCTTGAATGTCTTAAAGAAATTATCGCACGAGAGAGTGCGATGCGGCTGATCTTATCATTAGTCTCCTACGGCAATAACTTTCGTATATCAGTTCTTATATGGAAGCGTAAAAACATATGCGTGGTAAAAAGTCGTGAAAGGGACATCACGTGTATATTTCACGTACGGCGAACGGAACAATGACAGGGTCGGTGAGTGAAATTGTTATAGCATGATGTGACCTATTGAATTATCTTCAAGAGGAAGATATTCGACGTAGTTAAATTATTTCGTATTGAAGAACCATCTTTATTATTCCTGATTACCGCTAACTGCAGGTTAGCAAAAGCTGAGGGAGTATCGAAGATCTCCATAACTACATATTTTAGCAACTTTTTCGATAAATGTTATAGATATATATTAGACTAGGAACGTATTTCGAGAGTGCTTTCTTCGTCGAATCCCGCTCTTCTTGATTCGCATGAAACTCTTGAGGTGACCCTACACG